CAGTCAGGGATTTCCCAGACTGACTGTACAGATACTCCATACCCAGCAGCTCCCCTGCAAAAGAACACACATACAAAGCACATCACATTATACAAAGTTTATCACATTATTATAGCTGTAGTGGCTATTTGTCCATAACAAACTGAAACAAAAAAACAATCAAACTTTTTAAAGTTTGATCGTTTGTAGGCTTGATACAGTTTAACAGATCAATAAATGAAAATAATATACAAGAAGATAATAAGCATAAATGCAAAATAAAGCAAATTCACTTTAGCAAAAGAAAGCAAAGAAATAAGTCTAAAAAGGGTCAAATTAAGCCTAAATTAAACAAAGCACAAATAACTCCACCAATAGTTGAATTATTTGAAATACAATATAAAAAATGTACACTCAAACACTCATACCCCTGTATAATGTATAATCTTTTGTTTGAGTTAACATGAATAATTCTTACCTGTGTAAGCCCCTGGAGGCTGGTAGCGGTCATCCAGGGACACCTTCAGCACTTTGCGGCTGAGCCGGTCCATTGCCTCCCTCTCAATGCTACTGTAGATCCTCAGGTCAGTCTTTCCCCTCACTGCTTCATCCATCCGGTCCTGGTTCCAGCGCATCAGGCCTTCCAGGAGATAGGCCTGGAAATGCGCATCACTGGCACTGGTCCCTACAGGTCAAATAAAGTAAAATATATGTTACGTATGTATTCAGTATGGCAGAATAGGTTATAAAAGTTTAAAGTTTTTTGCAGGTTATAAAAGTTATAACCTACCTGGGATGAAGCGATTTAAATGGAGGTGGAAAGACTCCAAGGAGGTGGAGCCACGAGCACAGCGATAGCAGCTGAGCTCCACACCACCCTTCTTCAGTGTGTCTGTCTTCTGGTACAGAGGGAAGCCCTCTGGGTCCTGAATACAGGCGATGTGCCTCTGCTGATCTATCCAGACCTGTTGGATTCGCTCGTGGTCCAGCAATGGTACACCCAGAGTGTCCCTCCCCTTCTCACTGTCCATCTCATCAATGAGCGCCTTGATCCTCCAGGTGGTCTCCTCCACTCCTCTGGTCCGCTTCCGACAGTGCAGAGCCAACTCCTTCCTGGTGATCAGCTTATCCAGAGCCTTCTCTGAGACTGGACCAGCTCCTCTGGCCTGTAACTCCCCCTGTTTGGCCAACCGTAGAGCAGCGACATCATCAGGATCCAGCTCAAAGATGCACCTGGAAAGCCGAGCCATGAAGGTGCCGTAGAGCTGATGAGCCTCCGTGATGACACCTGCTGCAAAGCGCCGCATGAAGTGCCAAATGTCTAGGCGCACTTGGAGCTCATCCCACTCTATGAACATGGCTCTGACCTGCGACTGTCTGTGTGCATGTGGACTGCAGCAGTCTCTGTCCACATACATGATGGCCGGTGGTGCCACTCCCGCCTCCCTGTACCTCTTCATGAGACCCACCGCCATGGGCCACAATCCATGCCCCTCTGCCGCTGTGAGGACTGACACCAACACCTGGCCGTGCTCATTGCCAACATTAGTGCACCAACCAGCAGTGTTGGCAGCAGCGCCGGCCAGTTTTTTGTTGACCTAAAAACAGTAGAACAAAACAATTGTCAGAAAAATTTAAGATAATAACAATTATTATTACTCAAACTTCACTTTTTATACCTTTTTGGTGGAGTCCATCTTGAGGACAGAGCCAAAGACTGAGGTTATTTTGGCCTTGACCTCAGGTAGCCGCGAGAGGACGTCCCTGGCATACACAGACAACAGCCACTTGGGTTTGGGGATGGGTGGGAGGGGCGGGGGCGCAGAAAAGAGTGGAGGCTCAACAATGGAGGAGTCTGTGAAGGGCTCACAGACAGTGAGGTACTCCAGCGTCCGCTGTGACCACGCTGAGGTGTGCAGCTCCTGCAGCTTTTTGAAAAGCTGTGTGACACTGTTCCCCCGGGTCCTCTCCCGCATCATTATGACTACACGGTAGTCACACGAGTACCTACAGACAGTCAAATAATTATGTTCAGTGCCACATCTTATTATTTCAATGTCAGTAAAGCAACGTATTTGATTTTATACAGTACAACAAATTACAGTGCATTGCTCTAAATACGAATGTGTTCTACCTGTATGTCAGAATGGCGGGGAATTTTCTGCGGTGTCCCATGTCGAGCTGTCCCAGGATGTCTTCAGACCAGGCTGGATACTTCTTCTTGCACCCTTTGCACTCCAGATACTCTGTGGCCATGTCATACCACCCGTCTATGTCCAGGACCTTGCGCACAGTGCGATAAAGGCCAGCAGCTGTCAGCTTGTGGTTATTGCAGGCTGGCTGGACACAGACAAGTGGAATGGACCACATCTTCAGCGGCATCCAGAGGAACAGAGGGCGGCAGAAGAAAATATAAGGAGAAGTAGGGGGCTGGGTGAAGACGGTCGGGGGCTGGGGAGGGTACCACCAGAAGTTGGGATGTGGCACCAGCTCAGGCTTCCCTGTTTTTACGTTGGCCCTGAACAGAGTCTTCCTGATCCAGTCCTGCTGTAAAAGATGGGAGTTGCTCTTTCCAGTGGACAGGAAGCTCTGCAGGCGACTGGGACACCTGGCCAGGGGTCCACAATGCTGGAGGAGCAGGATAGGGGGCAGGAGCGGGAGCAGGAGCAGGAGCAGGGCCTCTCGAGCCTGCAGTGGCTGGAGCGTAAAAAAACACAACAAAATTATCTTATTGTTTTAGACTTTCACTGCATGACTTTTTCAGCTCTGCTGGACAGCTACTGCGATTACAAGGTTTACTGCAAAGCATGTATGATTAGTAGAGAGACGATATGATGATGAAAAGATGGAAGGAAGCAGTGAAAATCATCCTGTTTTTCATCCAAGCACCATTAGAAGAAATACAAGAAGAAAAAAAGATGGGATCAGTCAAGTGTGAAGCGAAGCAGACCAAACACTACAACAGCCACTTATTTCAAGGGGAGTGGGGGAAGTCTGAGACACCTTTAAATTCTCTTTTTTCCTTTGAGGATGTTCACTCAAAGAGTGAATGTAGATTGACCTGAGAAGTGCCATTCCTCTGTGTTGTGAAATAAAATAATATGATATGTCATTTAAAAATACTGTTTTGTTTTATTTGTAGTTGTTTGTAAAGTATTGTTTAAGATTAATATACCTTGAGGAAGTTGTTCCTCAGCTTGCGAGGCTACAGTTGCCATCTCCAGGTCATCTTCCTCCTCAAAAAAATCCATAGCAGCAGAGTCTGTAAAATAACATAAAACACTAAGCACATGTCACCAACACACTTGTATGTGTTAAGTGATACTCACCACATGTAAAGAGCTGTCTCCGGGCTGCGGACTCAGACGCAGGAGGTACACGTGGTCCTGCAGCTGTTGAACACGTATTTTCGTCACACATAGTATATACTGCATAATATATACTGTAATGATTTTAAAGCTAGCAAATTACTTACAGGGTTTGGCTGGAGACAAAATCTTTTGTGCCAGCAGTGAAGCAGATCAGATCAGATTCCCCCGCGCCAACAGGGCCTTCACATTGGTTGCCGGCAGAGGCCTGTTCTTAGTGACAGTAGGTGGAGGAGGAACAGACACAGTGGCAGTGGGCACAGCAGCAGTGGGGACAGATGCAACGGGCACAGTGGTGCTGGGCATGTGGGCTGGAGCCTGCCTCTTCAGCACGTATGCTTTGAAAAGGGCCATGTTAGTGTTAGGCCTGGCCTTTGCCTTCTTCAGGTAGGTGATGAGAGCCTGGGCCTCCTTGCTTGGGTCCTCATACACCTCCTTCATTGACCTACCCTTAAAATCCCCAAACTCCACCATCAGACATCCAGAGTCTCCTGTCCTCTAGGCCTCCAGCAGCATGGCCTGTTTTTTCTGATACACCTCCACAGCCTCGCCAACCTCCCTGATCTGCGAGGTGTATCTGAGGAACAGGTGTTTGTTGGCCGACAGCGGGTTGTCCCTCTCCTCCTCCCCCAAAATGCTGCTGACCAGATAGCAGGCATACCCCAGTGAGTTCTCCAGCAGCCACAGGAACCTCTGACCCTGGTGTTTCCCAAACTGGATCTTGCAGTGAGCCAGAACCAGGAACTGGTCTCCAGGATTCCCTCCATTCTGCCTCACAAAGCAGTGGCCTCAGCCAGGACCTCCTCCTTACTCCTGGCCCTCCCTGCCAACACGATCTCCCTTCTATTGGCCTCCTCAGTTGG